AATGCTCCACCCACTCGCATTTCACGCTTAGTCCCCCTAGCGGACGACAGGCCCTCCCTAGCCCTATCCTCTTGTACACACTCTGTCTTGCCTTATGCTACCATCCCTGTGGGACCCATAAACGGCAACGAGGCATACCCAGCCCGGCCCCTTCCCAGATAATCTCAGCCCCATATGTCCCTCCCCCATTCCTACACATGCCGAATTCTGCCTTACCTTCCGCGTATTGAGCCATGGCAGACCTTGTTCCCCCCCTCCCCCCCGCCCCTCCGCATGTGCCAGGCTGTGCTGTGTCCGCCCTGACTGACATACCTAGAATAATTCTACAGTCTTTATTCTGAAATGTACTCCTACCTGTACCCAGTAACACCAAGTAAAATATATAAAAAATGTTTGTGTGTATATATGCACACAGGCAAATGAATCCGTACTCTCAGTGATTAATAGAGCAAGCGCACGCACTGAAAGAATATACACATTTTCAATAAGACAATTATCAATTGGAGAATTCATACTATTTTCAAGCTAGTGATACAGTATTCATAAAAACTGACTCCGGTGGCCATGAAGGATCTCTAAATATATTCCAATCAATAAGGGGCACAGATAAGTTACTTAGAAATTAATGAAAGGCTTAACTTTTGAAAATTGCAACAGCACTTCTAAATAACTTTTGATAAACAGAAAAGTAACAAATTAAAAAACACTTAGAATGTAACAAGAAGGAAAAATAATGTATACCTGACTGCGGTCTTAGATGGAACTTTAAGATGAGAATCTGAGGAAAGAAGAACGACGTAAATTACTAATCTGAGCATTCAACTCAGATTAAAACAAGTCCTCATCTTAACTCCAAAGACCCCCGTTATCAACACCAAAATCCCCTCACCCACCCTTCCAATCACAAAACCCCAAGACCCGAGTCAAAGCACTTAAAAATTACCTCAGCCAGCGCTGAACTGTCGAGAGCTTCGAGGTAGGCTGCTTCCCGCTCTTCGGAATTGACCTTTGCCCCGCCCCTTCTTGAATGTGTTGGGTGTGCGCATGCTCGAGACCCTCTGAAGAGTTGAGATGTGGTCCAAAGTTCAAATAGCGGGTAGCATAGAAACAAGAGAGGTCAAAGGTGCACCATTCTTCAGAACACCGCGCCAGAGGCCTACATAGATACATTGTCTATTTTGATGCCAGTACCTCATTGTTTTACAGTTGGAGTGACCAATCATTGCATTATTTTATATGGCAGGAATATTGATCCCCTTATCATTTCCAATTATTTTGAATCATTTTATAGTATCACTATTTTATTATCTGCTATTATTTTAACCATGAAGTAGACAATGAGATAAACAAGCAAAAACCCCACATAAATCCATTGTTAAAAATCAAGAAAGTAGAAAAATTATAGAAAGAGCAGAAATAGAAAGCAAAATGTAAGAAGGTATGAATAAGTTCATATTGAAGTTCATTAATGGAATAAACTCTGCCGTTAAGTCAAATATGGTCATTTCAGATGCAAATGAACAAATCTAACCATATGCTGTTTATATAAACCTAAAAAATCATAAAACTACAGAAATATTTAAAGGAATGGAAGAAAGTTTGCTAGGCAAATGGTAATCAAAATAAGCAAGATCAGTTACATTAATATCAGACTAAAAACACTATGACAAAAAATATTAATTGAGATTGAAAGGGTCATTCCATAGTTATTTGATTCACCATGAATGTGTAAAAATTTCAATCTTTCACACAGTTAAATGGTGTAAAATAAATATAAAGAAAAATATATTGTAACAAAAGCTAGAGTGGAAAAAAATATTCTCTTTATAGATTACAATCACACTGCTTAATTCCCATTCACCCTTCAAGACTCAGCTTTGTAATCATCTGGGAAGCGCTCTGCTTACTTTCTATCTGGATGGTTGGCGTCTCTTCTGAATGGCATAATTATAATAGCAAGGGAGTTCCTTTTATTTTAATCTTGAAATTAGGGAGGAAATGGGGAATATTGCCTGAATCAATCACACTTGTTTTGTGTCTGTCTTACTAGAAATAAGGGCAGGGACAATGACAATGTTGGTCTTGATCAATGCTGGTTTCCAGTGCTCAGTTTACCTCCCAACCCACAGGGGTGTCCAGTAGCCACTGATGACCAAAGGAATTCATCAGGGATCCTCCCCTTATGGTGTTGCTGCAAAATGATAAATTTTACAGTAATCTATCTGGCTCCATATTATTCCTTGAATATAAAGGCAAATATATACTGTAATTTATACTAGAACTAGAGGCCTGTTGCACAAAATTTGTACATGGGGTGGGGGTCCCCTCAGCCCAGCCTGCACCCTCTTCAATCTGGGACTCCTCGGGGGATGTCCAACTGCCGGCAATCAGACATCCCTCTCACAATCCTGGACCTCTGGCTCCTAGTCACTCACCTGTCTGCCTGCCTGGTTGCCCCTAACTGCCCCCTGCTGCCAGCCAGGTTGCCCCCAACTGCCCCCCTCTGCCTGCCTGGTCTCCCCCAACTGCCCCCACCCGCTGGCCTGGTCTCCCCTCATGGCCCCTCCGCCAGCCTGGTTGCCCCACGCAGCCTGCTTGTTCAGTCATTTGGTCGTCCCTCACTAACCCCCCTAACAGCCTTGTCACCCCACTCAGCCTGTTTGGTTCTCCGTTCAGTTGTTTCGGATGTGATGGCCCCTGGCTCTTTATATATATAGATGACTTGTCAAAAGAAAAAAATGTGACACAAATACTGTTTAAATATTTTATTCAACTGTTGTGCATCAGTTAGAAATTTAAGAACAATAAACTCCCTAAACTGAAGCAGGATTAGTTTATATAGGGCAAGAAAAGGGGTAACTGTGGTCAGTCACAGGTTGCAATTTTACTTATCTGTAATTGCTAAAAATTTGTGGCTGGAACTGTTAAGAGACTGTTTCAGTTTTTCATGCCTTTTTCTAAGAATCATTGCTGCAAACTCATGCTTACAGCTTTCAGAACAGTTCTTTGAGAGATATTTTTGTAATCCTTACGGTTTCTCAATGTTTTGGAAAGGAGGAGATTGTGTAGGAAGAAGATAAAAAAGGAAAGGATGCAGAAATTGAAACAAGAAAAACTGGAGTCTGTTTTAATTCTTTCAGAGCCCTTCCTCTTGGCCAAGATGGGATCCTTTCTTCACTGGCCAAATCTGTTGGGAGAAAAAACAAAAGCACAGGATGAATAAGTTTCAAGAATCAAGTTAGGAAGGCCCTATAATGAGTTGGAGGGGCAGTATGTTGTTTGACATGTTGTTCCTTAACCATGCTTACATCATCTGTTTGGACAGGACAGTACTGCTGGTCTTAATTAGACATGACAGAATGCATGTGATTAGTGATACTTCTATCAGGAGATAAAGGAAGACCTGATAAAGGCACTACGAGTAGGACTCCAGGGTGGTTTTTCATTGGTGTCTCTTCCAGTAGACTAAGCCTTTTGTTTGTAAGTCATGCAGGAGCTCAGAAGATGATTCCTTTGAAAAGGCAGCTTGAATCTGTTGGTAATGAGTCCTGTATATGACTTTGGTCCTTTACAGCACCAATTTTTAACTGGTATGCCATGAGAATTTTTAAAACATGTAATACCTGACTATTCAGTCAGGGGCACTGACCTCTTTTCCCTTAGATCGTCAAATAAAAAAATCACAACAGCCAACACAAAAATAGTCATCTGGTGTTAATGAATCAAAATTATACCTATTTTTTCCATTACATTGGCAAAAATTATAATATTTTTGGTGTGCTGCAGAATTTTAGTAATTATTTTGTGTGCCATGAGATGATAAAGGTTGAAAATCGCTGCTTTACAGTATTGAGCCACATCTGCTTGCAACAAAGTGGAATCTAAAATAAGAGATGCAATGTCCAATTTCATTGACCTGGCTATAACAAGTTCACTAGATGTAAATCCATGTTTGCCAGAGGAGAAGACTAGATGTCCATTAGGGCCAACTGGGGAACCTTAGGCCAAGGTAACTGTAAGTCTTCAGAGAGGTTAGCAAGTTTTAATTAATTTTAAAGTACCTCTTTCTGGAGGACATTCAGAAAGCCAAGAGACATATGAAAACATGCTCAAACTCACTAATCATCTGAGAGATGCAAATCAAAACAACAATGAGGTACCATCTCCCACCTGTCAGACTGGCTATCATCAACAAATCAACAAACGACAAGTGCTGGAGAGGATGTGGAGAAAAAGGAACCCTCGTGCACTGCTGGTGGGAATGCAGACTGGTGCAGCCACTGTGGAGAACAGTATGGAGTGTCCTCAAAAAACTGAAAATGGAACTCCCATTTGACCCAGTGATCCTACTGCTAGGAATATATCCCAAGAAACCAGAAACACCAATCAGAAAGGATATATACACCCCTATGTTCATAGCAGCACAATTCACCATAGCTAAGATTTGGAAACAGCCTAAGTGCCCATCAGCAGATGAATGGGTTAGAAAACTGTGGTACATCTACACAATGGAATACTATGCTGCTGTCAAAAAGAAGGAACTCTTGCCTTTTGCAACGTCATGGATGGAACTGGAGAGCATTATGCTAAGTGAAATAAGCCAGTCAATGAAAGAAAAATACCACATGATCTCACTCATTTATGGATAATAAAGACCATTATAAACTTTTGAATAATAATAGATACAGTGGCAGAGCTGCCTCAAACAGATTGTCAAACTGCCCCGGGAAGGCGGGGGGGGGGGGGGGGGTTGGGGGCAGGAGGGAGGGGGGTAAGAGATCAACCAAAGGATTTTCCCCGAGGAGGCGGCGGCCATGGCAGCTGCGCGGCACGCGCCCGGCTTTGAATGAGTGGGGCTGGGACTGAACAGGCAGAGCGCGAGCTCGAAGAGGCGACCGGCAGCACGCGCGCGCCTTGCATGTGTGTGTGTGTGCGTGTGTGTGTGTGTGTGTGTGTGCGCGCGCGGCCCGCAGCTGCTAGGAGCCTCCGCCAGGCGGGCGGGAGGGGGAGGGGCAGGTTTTGGTTCCCATCATGGCTATCACACAGTTTCGGTTATTTAAAGTTTGTACCTGCTTAGCGACATTATTCTCCTTCCTAAAGAGATTAATATGCAGATCTGGCAGAGGACGGAAATTAAGTGGAGACCAAATAACTTTGCCAACTACAGTTGATTATTCATCAGTTCCAAAACAGACAGATATTGAAGAGTGGACTTCCTGGGATGAAGATGCTCCCACAAGTATAAAGATTGAAGGAGGGAATGGGAATGTGGCAACACAACAAAATGCTTTGGAACAACTGGAACCTGACTATTTTAAGGACATAACACCAACTATAAGGAAAACTCAGAAAATCATTATTAAGAAGAGAGAACCATTAAATTTTGGCGTCCCAGATGGTAGCACAGGTTTCTCTAGTAGATTAGCAGCTACACAAGATATGCCATTTATTCATCAATCACCTGAATTAGGTGACTTGGATACCTGGCAGGAAAATACCAATGCATGGGAAGAGGAAGATGCAGCCTGGCAAGCAGAAGAAGTTCTGAGGCAGCGGAAGATAGCAGACAGAGAAAAGAGAGCAGCGGAACAGCAGAGAAAGAAAATGGAAAAGGAGGCACAGTGGCTAATGAAAAAGGAGCAAAACAAAATTGGTGTGAAACTTTCATAACAAATGTTCTTCAAATGTCATAGTGCCAGTGGGAGAAATATAAAATCCACAACCCGAGCAACATTTGTATGGATCAAAGAGTATTTCCCGAAAACAGACACACTGTTTGACAATGCATTCATCAGGCCATTCAGGACACTAGGATTCTGTCAAAGTTCCTTGAACTTGTAGTGATTGAGACTCAAAAGAACAAAAAAGACTTATGAGACAATATTTTCTTCAACATGTTCCATTATAAGACAGTTGTTTGCTGTAAGCAAATTATTACAAATGGAATACACCAGTACCTCTTCAAGCTGGTGTTTCTAGCTGAATAAATGGGTGTAAATAATTTTGTGGTGGAAAGAACTCTGTCGTCTATAATGTTCTTCATTGTGCATAATGATAAAATAAATAATTTTAAATATTAAAAAAAGAGATCAACCAAAGGACTTGTATGCATGCATATAAGCATAACCAATGGACATAAGACACTGGGGGGTAGGGGAGGCCAGGGGATTGTCAAGGGCGGGGGAATAAAAAGGACATATGTAATACCCTTTGTAATACTTTAAGCAATAAAAAAAATAAAAATAAAAATAAATTTAAAAAAATAAAGTACTTCTTTCTGTTTTCTCTGAGGATTAAGAATCATGAAGACAGTGTCATTTTTGTCTGACAGGCAATACCTCAAAAAGTTCCTTAATTATGGTCCCAGTAAATTGAATATCTCTGTCAGTAGAGAAATAAGTATGGAATTCCCAAATGACAAAGATAAAATCTACTGGTTTTAGCCACAGTTAAGAGCCTTTACTTTTTTTTTAATATATTTTTTATTGATTTCTTTACAGAGAGGAAGGGAGAGGGATAGAGAGTTAGAAACATCGATGAGAGAGAAACATCAATCAGCTGCCCCCTGCACACTCCCCACTGGGGACGTGCCCGAAACCAAGGTACGTGCCCTTGACCGGAATCGAACTTGGGACCCTTGAGTCCGCAGGCCGACACTCTATCCGCCGAGCCAAACTGGCTAGGGCAAGCCTTTGCTTTTTAATAAGGGGAAGCTTTTGACCATTCAAAGAAAAGGCAGAAAACAATAATTATATATTCAAATCCCTATAATGTTATTTGAAGTCCATTTGTAAATATTCTGAAGATCCCTGAGACTACAGGTCCTGGCCATGTCCCATCTTTAAAGTTTTCCAGGACTGAGTCTAACAGGTGGAAAGTTTGCTAGAAACTTTCTCTACCACATGATTAAAATTGTTCACCAATGTTATCTCAGAATAAAGTTTTCTTTGCTGTGATGAGTCATAGTATGAAAATTTTTTCAACAAATTTCATTTCAGGTAGTCTGGGGAAATCAAGCAATTATCTACATGTCTTCATAACCCATCTGACTGGAGAGCATATCTAGCTTTCTCCCAATATGTTCAGAATCTTGTGCTTGTAACATCAGATTGCACAAGATTTCATAGAAGTGATCTGGAGTGATCAGATATCATTACTTTGTTGAACTAACTGTATTTAGGTGAAAGCCATTCCATGGAAAGGAGCAAGACACATAGTAAAGCTCAAATTTGCTCACTGTACTTAATGTACCAGTAGCCGTTAAGAAATTCTGTTGTTTTGACAGATACCATGTGGAAATCATGAACACACCAAAGCAAGAGCTGTAGTTTGTGTGTATGTTAACTCTTTTATCCCTTGCTAGCTGCCAGGCTTAAGCCATGCTTATAAGTTTTGCTGACTTGACTTTAGGAAAGGGATTGGATGTTATAATATCTTAGGAAGTAGTGACAGCATAGTCAGCTTGAAAATATTTTTTTTAAAAAAATATATTTTATTGATTTTTTACAGAGAGGAAGGGAGAGGCATAGAAAGTTAGAAACATTGATGAGGGAGAAACATCGATCAGCTGCCTCCTGCACACTCGCCACTGGGGATGTGCCCGCAACCAAGGTACATGCCCTTGACCGGAATCGAACCTGGGACCCTTGAGTCCGCAGGCCAACGCTCTATCCACTGAGCCAAACTGGTTAGGGCTGAAAATATTCTTGTTCAGTCTTAGATATGACCCATTTACAAAAAAAATTCTATGTCTGGGTCTTATAGAGTGGTTTCAAGGAGATCAGAGTGAAGCATAGAAAATTCTTCGGTTAAAGTTAAATGATCATGATCTTCTCCCTCCTCTGCTAAAGGGAGTAAGATAGCTAGATTGAGAGGTGTGATGCTTATGTACGGTGATATGAACTGGGAATAGAAGCAGCAATTCACAGGAAGTGAGGCCAATTTAAAACATGATGGAAAGATTTGAATACATATTTCACCAAAGAAAATATACAGATGGTAAATAATGCATGAAAAGATGGTCAACATCATTAGTCATTAGGAAAATACAATTTAAAACCATGATGAGATAACACGATTCACCTATTCAAGTGGCTACAATTAAAAAGACCAGCTATATACCAAGTGTTGACAAGAATGTAGAAGATCTAGAATTGCTAATGGGAATGTGAAATGGTATAACTACTTTGGAAAACAGTTTCACAATTTCTTTTTTTCCTTTTTTTAATCCTCACCCAAGGATATTTTTTCCATTGACTGTTACAGAAAGGGGAGAGGGAGAGACAGAGAGAAACATCGATGCGAGAGAGACACATCAATTGGTTGCCTCCCACATGCTCCCAACCAGGGCCTGGAGGCTGCAACCGAGGTATGTGCCCTTGACTGAAATTGCACGCGGGACCCTTCAGTCCACAGGCCAATACTCTGTCCACTGAGCAAAACCGGCTAGGGCAGCAATTTCTTAAAATGTTTAACAAATACCTACCATATTATCGAGCCATTCTACTCCTAGGTAATTACTCAATATGAAAGGAAATATAGCCACACAAATAAATGTACACAAATGTTCAGAGCAGCTTTATTTGGAATAGCCAAAAACTGGAAATAACTCAAATACCAGGTGAACAGATGAATAAGCTGTAGTATATCTATACAATCAAATACTACTCAGCAATAAAAAGTAATGGATTATTAATATACACAACAACATTAATGAACCTTAAAATATGATAAGTGAAAGAAGTCAGACTTAAAGGACTACATGATGTATGATTTCATTTATATACATTTCTAGAAATTGCAAACTAATCCATAGGACAGAAAGCAAGTGACTGGTTGACCACATAAGAGGCAGGGGAGATAGAAGGGATTACAAAAGTCAACCTGGAGGAGCGCCTCCTGGAAATTTGGACAATGAAATAAACGATTATAGTATTGGATTATAATTCATAGAATAAAATAAATATCCACCTGTTCACAAAAGGTACAACAAAAATCTAAGTTCCCAGAAAGATTGAAAATAAAAGAATGGAAAAATTAAATATGGTGAAAATGGTAAATGTTATGTTTTATATTTATATTTAACCACAATAAAAAGAATGGAAAAGGATATTCTGATTTGCTCATGTCAGAAACACTTGGCCCCTTCTTTTGTGCCATTCTTGACTGCTTTTTTTCTCTGACATGCTATATCCAACCCATCAGAAAATACTGTCGGGGGTCTACTTTGAAGATGAGACACTAACAAAAGCAATTCTATATTTATAAAACTTACAAGGTCTCACTCCTATTTTAACCTTGTGTACAGTAAGTGAAAACATCTATAGCTTCTCTCCGGCACGAGTTCTCCCATGTTTCCTAAGGGAAAAGGAATCATCAAAGACTTTCCCACAAATCTTACATTCCTAGGGTTTCTCCCCAGTATGTATTATCCTGAGTCCTCAGACTGGAGTCTTTTTCCAATTGATTATACTCACAAGGTTTTCCTCCAGTGTAAATCTTCATGTGACTCCTAAGGGATGTAGGAAAACTAGAGGCATTTTCAGCCCAAAATTCATAGAGTTTCTCTCCATTACATGTTCTCTTCTGCTTTTTAAGGTAAGACTTTTTGCTGGAGGCTTTTCCACATTAATTTAATTCATAAGATTTTGCTCTATTGTGAATTCTCATGTATGCCTTATGGATATGCTCACGCTAAAGGTCTTTCTACATTGAATACACCCAAATGATTCCTCCCCAATGTGAGTTTTCACATAATTCTTAAGAGAGGGGATATCCCTGAAGCCTTTCCCAAAGTTATTACATTCAGAGGCCTTCACTCTGATGTGTATTCTCCTATGTTAAGGTTAGCCCTCATGTTAAAAATTTCAGAAGAAATATTGTATTCATTGGGTTTCTCTCCAGAATAGTCTCCCCTGTTGATGAAGAGATGAGTGATGACTGGACAAAGTTTTCTATTCATTACCATCATAGAAATTATCCCCTTCTGTTATATATCTGATAGACATTATAATCTATATATACAGTATATAAGGCTAATATGCAAAGTGCCCCCTCAGGAGTTCAACTGGGAGACAGGGAGTTTGATCACTCACTATGACATGTGCTGACCACCAGGGGGTGGTGTGGAACAAAGAAAGGCCCAGGCCGGCAGCTGGAAGGCCTCGATCGACCCTGATCCCCCACCAGGAGTAGGGACCCTACCCATGCACGAATTTTGTGCATCGGGCCTCTAGTCTTTAATAATTTATTGTGTATGCATATGGTTCCTGCCTTAAGATTTTTTTTCAAGTTGAAATGGTAACTCTTCTGCAATAAGGCTCTATCATGCAGAGATTTTTCGGTAATTTTTAAAGCTGAATTATTTTATAAAGGCTTAATATCAGATTCAAGTTAATGAAAATAATTATAAATAAATTTCTAGCGAAAAACATGTTTTGCGCTATTATGATATTCATAGTATCTTTCCTAAGACACTGCTTTCTCCCAAGTGAATTCCAGTTACCTAAATGGCTTTTCTAGTTCTTAGATAGTGCGTTAGTTTCCTGTTGCCTCTTTAACAAGTTACCATAAACTTGGTGCCTTAAAACAATACATTTTTTAAATCTTATAGATCTGGAGGTCATAAGTCTGAAATAAGTTTCACTGGAGGTGTTGGCAGGGCTGGTTCTTTCTGGAGGCTCTGAGGGGAAGAATCTGGTTTTTTTGCCTTTTCCAACCT